TCCAACAAGGTGCTGAGCTCCTTTAGAAGTGGAATGTGCTCAGCACTTCAATGGATCAGGTTCCAAGGTAGGGAAAAAAATTTACCTGTTCATCATCTTCTACGACCACAAGTGTTAATTTGCTTTTTTTGAAGTCCATTTTAGTGATTTTAGGCCTAACCATACAGGAAATAAATAGACATTTTATAAGTTTAGGATTTTTAATGAACGAAAAACAAACAAGGCATATAAAAGGGTTTAAAATAATGGGACACCTTGAGCTTTTTAAACAGGTATTCGAAATATAAATAGATGTTTAACAAATCCCTTTGAATATTGTTGAAAGATAACCTAACCTGGTCAGAAGCATGCATCTTAATCTATCTTTGATATTGCAGAATTAACCATTCTACTTAACTCTACCACAAATAAATTCAAATCAAGCAGAAACAGATTATTGAAAAGGAGAAGGATTTCAGCAGTTAAATAGGGATATAAATAAAAAATGAATTACCAAAAAAATAAACCTATTTTGTTTGCTCCTTCAAAAATCAATATGCCTGTTGGTGTAAGTCCCAGAGCGTAGTCACATCCATCTCTTCCCTACAACCAAACACATGATGGAATAATCAATATGCAGTTACTAGCACAAATCTTAATATGGCCATAACGCAAACCTTTTCTTATAAGGTATAGTACCAAAGTCTATTTGTATGTTTTCATAGAAGAGAATTACGACTAGTTTATAAAGAGATGCATATTCTTCTATTTATAATCTCTGCCACTCCCCATAGAAATAGAACAACAGTGTACGTCTTACCTTAACAACATGCATATCTACACCATACATTTCCAACCATTTAGCTTTGTTCAAGTAGCACAACTCAGCCTGTGCTGGGGTTTTTCCCCTGTGAAAATAAAATGGAAAATGTATTTTAGTTTGCAGTAGAGTATTTGTTTATATACAGTACAACTCCCCTTTTCATCCATCATCCAGGCTCCCCTGCCTAGGACTCTGCAGAACACTTAAATACAGGCTTAACTTTACACGTCTACTTAAGTCCAAACCTGTTCAGCAAAGTATGAAAACATAAGTTTAAGTACTTTGCTATGTAAGCAGGGTCTTAAGTAAAGGCCTATATGCTTTGCTGACCTTGGGCCTGGAAGACTACATATGGACTCCATGCTGCTGA